GAACCTGCGCGGGGAAACCCCATTGGATTTCGAGTCCAACGCCTTAACCTCTCGGCCATCACAGCTGTAAGACATTGCCGCAAGGTTCTAGTGAAACCTATCCCCTGTACTCTCTATTTAATGCTTTAATTAGCAAATGTTAGCATGCCATTGCCTAAACTAACACAATGAACATGGTAAACATTATAACTGCAACAATCAACATGCTAGCATTAGCATTTTGGGCATTTTGGGCATTTTAGCAATTTGCAACCTTGACCTTCTTATTCCTCGTGTCTTTGTCATGTTGGTGATGCATATATCCATGAGGGCTCATTGTAAACTGTACTGCTTCTCGGGTAAGCGCTTGTACAGTGAATTTCCAATTAGCTGATCAAGCCCGTACTCCTGAACTGTGGCAGGAGGAGGAGAGGAGAAATAGTTTCTGCTTAGTCACTGAAACAGCAAGCCACTCACCAGAGTCTCCAAGGACATCGTGCTGTTGCCTTGTCTCCTCTACTAATGAGTGACCTAATGAGTTTAGGAAAACTACTGCATGCTCAGCAGTTTCTCGCCCTTTCCAGCCCATACTCACTGCATATCATCTGGGCTTCTTTTGTGCATAAAACTCACTTTTTGCGGACCCCCATTGCAGTGTTACTCACAGTTCAATTCAGAATTTGTTCTTTATACCAGGTATAGACCTGCCTCCAAATGGAAATAGTAGAGTTCCTCTATGTTGTGACGTGGTTCTAAAGGTTCTCTGTGTTTCTGTCTGTAGGTTTGACTTGGGAAGATGACACCACTCAGCAGGTTCTGTCCAAGGAGTTATCCAAACTGAGGAGGATTCCCTACAGGCCACAGCAGAATGGAGCTGCCTACAACACGGACAGCAGGTCAGATGTTTCGCCAGTTTACCCATCAGTAGCTCCATGGAGATGTCTCACTGTCCCAGCATGCTTCAAAAACGGTTCCGAGGCTGTTTCAAGAAGATATTTTAGACAAGTCTGAAGTGTTAGGCCAATGCAGACTGTTTCACAACAGTAAAGACTAGTTATTTTAAGCCTAAAAAGTTAGCCACCCCACCCTCACAGTCAAAAAATGACTGATTTGTTTTGTGAAGCTAGCGATGAAAAGGGATTTGAGGTTTATGAATGCACAGTAACCTGCTGAAAGGTATAGGGGATCATCAGACTTTTTTATACTTTATACTTTACTCTCTCTTTTCGGATTGTCTCAACTAGTCACAATTTGGTCAGTCAGATTTTTTTGCACAATCATTTAAATGTTTATTGCTGTAAGCCTTAACCTCTCGGTCATCACAGCTGCATTGAAAGAGAACTGTAGTGAGTACGACTGGTGGCTCCTTGTGAAAACTTGAACTACAGCTGCGATGTTCTCTAGAGGTTCTCTGGCTGAGTGGTGGAGAGTGGAACGCTTTTAACCTCTGAATGATAATTTACACCTTGAGGGTTTTTGAGGTCACTTGTGGGTTGTTAGTCCACCCGGCTTTAAAGTGACAGTCATTAGAGTCAGTTGAAGTATGAATGTGAATTAAACTGCCTGAGAAGGGACGCCTTTACTGCTTTCCTTTGTCGTATGTTGACTGCCACACTCTAACCTCTCTAAGCAATTTGCATCTTTGACTGTGTCACATAAAGTTGCAGACCGCTGTGAGCAGGATTTGAACCTGCGCGGGGAAACCCCATTGGATTTCGAGTCCAACGCCTTAACCTCTCGGCCATCACAGCTGTAAAACAGTGCTCTAAGGTTCCACTAACTCTGAAGGCTCCTTGTGAAAACATGAACAACATCGGTGTAATGCTGTAAACAAGTCCTGTTTATTGTCTGAACTCTCCACAGCTGGCCAATTGTTTCTTGAGTTTGTGTGAATATTAGTTTGTTGGTTTCTGAAAGGTACAAAAGCTGTCCAGCACAGTCAACCCTAATTCTAGATTTATTAACACGGAGGTTGGAAGGTTGTGGTGTTTAATCCTGTCTGGACCTTTAAAACCAACAACATCTCTGCAATCAAGTCTAATAAAGACATGTATATAGTAGTTAGATCTTAGAGAGGATGTGTCTTCCCAGTAGTTTGTTTGTGGGGCTAAACCAAAGTCTGTTGAACCCAAGATGAACACCCAAAGGTATAAAAGGTAGCACACATAGATTTCTCACATAGAAAGTTGACTAATCTCAATTTCACCTATTTATTTTGGCTGTGTCAGATCAACATGCTCACGTTTCAGCCTGATTGCCTTCATCTAAGCTCTGTGTGCGCTACCTTTTATACCTTTGGGTGTTCATCTTGGGTTCAACAAGACATTTATATTTTCTTGTGCAACTCCAGATGCAGCATTTTACCCAGTAGACTGAGTTCAGAACCAACCAATCAATTAGTGAAATGACCCAACTGATGTTGTGGGGTGAAGCCTCAAACGACAACAGCATAATATTAGCAGAGATGAATTGGGGGTTTAATATTGGCAAACAGGGGTCAGGGGTGGTACATTCAAGCAAGTTGAAGTAAAGATCCGTATTTTAGACCAGTACTATATCTTTATTTATATGTATATACTGTATATATTTGTATATCTAGATAGATAGATAGATAGATAGATAGATAGATAGATAGATAGATAGAAATAAAGATATAGCACTAGTCTGAAATACTGAAGTGTACAGTGATGTTTTGTGATTTTTCCTTCCATTTCCCCTCTTTTACTCTCCCACAGGCCGGCAGCTGAAGCGATGGACCCAGTAGACCAGAGAGTGAAGCCAGTGGAGGTGGAGCTCAGCAGGAATCTGCAGACATACCTCCAACGTCTCGGCCTCCTTCCCAAGACGTCATCTGCCTCCAGCCTGAGCACCCAGGGCAAGGTGAGGAATTCATGGAAACTCCATTTGCCTCTTTCCTGGATGTCTAATCATTCAGAGTCCTGCTCAAGAGCGCCTCAGCAGCAGTCGTTGAACAATGAGTAGGATTAAATCGGAACGTTTAGCACTGTTTTTTCCCAGCACACCAACATGTTTTTCCTTTGGTTGCATTTTAAAATTTGTTCATTCAATTATTGATGTTTTGCACAAAAACACATATTTCACACATAAAGTATTAAACACAACATCACCAGACTCATTTTAATAGCTTATAAAACTAGTAGAATTACAGAACTCTGCAGGACTATTAATACAGCTCTGAGTCCAGACCCTGGATGTCAAATAAAAATAAAATTAGGTCTCAAAAACATGTTCCTGCGTACAGATTTGGCTGTATCATTGTATAGTAGATAGCTGTTCCTTTAACATCTCTGGGTGAATTAATCTGTTGTTGCAGATCAGTCAGTCAGACTGTTTTATGGCAATATAGTTTTTTATGATTTTTGACCTTATACTGCATTAAAACAGCCATTCCTATCTGTTTATCTATATCACATGATCTGGTGCTATCATGATAAAAAATCAAATACAGGGTATACCACGGGATGCCAGTGAGTAAAGAGTACAAAGCCATCGTGTTTCTTTACTGCTGCCAGCTGCATATTGGAGCGCTCAAGTCAAAGTATCTACTAATAAATTAGAATATGCGAGATCTCACACACATGACTAAATACCTTCTGTAAACTTCAGCTCCTGTTGCTCCCTGTTTCACATGTGGGGGAGAGCAGGTGGGACATTTGTTTTTTACCCCAACGTCTGCATGTACCCTGCGCCCTCTGTTCACAGCCACCTGCCTCCGTTTAAAAAAAAATAATAGAAAGTGCACACACACACACACACACACACACTCAAACAAGTACCCAGTCACACAAAGACACAAACGCACACACACTTTCACAACGGGGAGCCCGGTGTCATCCTTCGTTGTCACTCCGCTCTTGCTCCTGCATCCTTACTGATGGCTTCTCGCAGCACGACCGCTATGAGCGAAATAATACCAGCAGAGAGTTCAGGAGTTCACCGCTCTAATTAATAACTCTCCACGTGACGGGTTCCTCCGCCATGTCTGCTGCTCAGGCTGAGGGGAGCGCGGTGCGGCTGAATAGCAGAGGCCTTTTGCTCCTGCTGGGGGATTGTGCCAAAAGACTCGCAGAGCACGATGCAGCGGAGCCTGCAGGCGTCGCTCGGGGGCTCGTGGCCTTTTCTATTCAGGTTCACGTGTTTGGTGGAAACGAAAAAGGAGCAGGAGGACAGAAGGGGTCCCGGAGGACACGAGTGGAATAAACTGCACCAACTGTGTGACATAGATGAATAAAGCTACCGGCAGTGACAAATATCAGAAGGGGCCTCGCACATACAAATCATAAAGAAGTATGATGACTGTGAGGAACGTTTATGGCGGCATTGTTATGATAATTTTACCGTTAGTCAGGCTTGTTCCATATCTGTGCTCCTAGGTGGGCGTTAATGGAGCCGGCGGTGACTCTGGGCTTTTGTTGCAGCTGATGGATGTGTTAATATGATTGCATAAATGGATTAATAACTTGTTTTTCAAAAATGGGCTTTATTTTCATGTCAATAATCATTTTGAATGAACGTCTCAAATATTAAAGCAAAGTGTGGCTCCTGCATCAAAATGTATTTTATGCCTCTATACTTTTACTTATACATATGTTGGCTTTTACGTTTTCTTTCAGATAAAATCCTTATCATTTAATTTAGTACGTTGACACAATCTCCTTCAAGTAATAATGCATAAAAATGTATCTTTGATTCTTTTGTTTCCCGTTTTTTGCATCATCCTGTTTAAATTAATCTAAAAAAACCGTGGCGACAATTGATTTGCGCATAGGAGAGAGCAGCTACAAAAATAAAATAAAAATGAGCATATATCAAAAACAAAACAATTTGACATAGTTACATAGAAATCTCTTGAATCACTATGTTTTTTTGCTTTTATTTAAAACAATCTGGTCAAATGTTTTGATTTATTTAAATTTATGACTCAGTTTCAATATTTTTATTATTTTGTTTTATTGACTTATATATCTTTTACCTTTGATTGTACAGATTTTATAGATGTGAATCACAAGCAAAAATACCAATGTAGACACTGGCAGAAAACTCTTTATTTGACAAGAAATAAACAGTTTTTAAAGAATAAATCTGTTGATTTATTAAATC